AGGTATTTCGTATGATATTCGAAACTTCAATCTTAGCTTGAACGTGTGTCGATAACTGCCTAGGAAATCTTCGGCTATTAATGAAACATTGATTGACAGAAAAGTTACAAGCAATCCAACTATCTTTTTCCATTCGTAGCATCTCAGTCAAACCTACAATCAATCCAAGAGTTGAAATAGCCGAGGTGATTTAAATAGATTCGTTTCATTTTTTTTTCTCCGTAGAAATTTCCTCCGAACAAATTGATTTGTCGGTAAATTACCGCGCAAACATAAAACCATGGTATAATTTTGTCTAACAGAAATAGCTGAGGAGTTTAGGAATGAGTGTATGAATGAATTAGACGTTGAGACGATGAAAAAAATAGTTTGATGCTCACAACTTCAGTCAGTCCTCGTTTTGTAAATAAGCGAACTAGTCTCAACTGCAGGTATGATCCGTATGACTGATTTCGAAGATATAAATGAGTACAGCTGTCCAAAACATTGTTATTATATACATGAAATCGACCGACAATTTTATTGTTTTTGGAGTGGAAGGAGGCGCAGGGCTACCTCGACTTTTTTGTCCAACAAGCATATTATTAACTTGGTTCTTTTTTACGAGCTATTTAGAGTCAGAAATGTTTCCTTAAAAATTCGAGCGGTGCCCCCACCCCCGCACACAAAGACGCAAAAGAAATGTAAAGGCTTAGTCCCTAATTTTTAGCGAAACTAACATACATATCACATATACCATACAAGCAACTACTGAAGCCAGTGGTTCTCTAGAGATGCACAGTGATCCTGTTAGAGCTAATAGGCATACGTGAATATTTACATTTGCCCTAATTAAATGTCTCTCTGCACGTTACAATACCTGTCCAGACTACTCCGCGACACCAAATCATTACCGTGATGCACTTTTCAGTTGTTTTGTTAACAAAATGTCCCTAACTTTGTCTCACATATTTAAAGCTAACGCGTTTCCGTCCCAACTTCTATGTCAAAATCATTTTAACAGATGTTTTGTCTGTTGGTTAAAGATTTATATAAATTCAATGGATGTAAGTTCTCCATTTCATTGTTAATCGTATTTGTTTAGATATCATGTGTCAGTTTTGACTTGGCCTGAAAACACAAGACGTTAAGGTGAGTTAACAGCAAGCGCGAGGAGTCTAGAATAGCTTATCATAGTAAATCACATGTAAATAATTATGTCGTAATGAAAATGAATTTCTTTTTAAAGCTAATACATGACCCTACCTATGTCTAACGAAGTTAGATATTTTAGTTATTACATACCTACACTTGCAGTTGGACAGTCTTTGTTGCATTTCTTGAATAGTATGCGAATAATAATAATAATAATAATAATAATAATAATAATAATAATAATAATAATAATAATAATAATAATAATAATAATAATAATGACGACGAAGACGATGATAATAATAATAATAATAATAATAATAATAATAATAATAATAATAATAATAATAATAACGACGAAGACGAGGATGATGATGATGATGATGATGATAATAATAATAATAATAATAACGACGACGAAGACGATGATGATGATGATGATAATAATAATAATAATAATAATAATAATAATAATAATAATAATAATAATAATAATAGGGCATGCGCTTTTGTATTTACATCTTTGTTTATTTCTTTGTAGTATTAGTGATTCGACATCATTGATTAGTTTGGTAAAATGGACACTTCCCGATGCCTTAACATACGGGATCTTCTGAATAATGTTACGTATACGTGTTTATTAACTTGAAATAGAAATATATTTTTATATTCAGTCTTTGGGTTGTGTTTTGTATTGCATGGCGTGAAGTACTCATATTCGATGTGGAAAGGCTTACTGATACGTCATACAAATGTAAAAAAAGTGAAAAGAATGCAACGGTGAAATGATTGTCTCTTCAGTGGTTGTTAGGTGATTAGAGATACAGCCGGATGGGGGGTACTGGATTTTAGGACCATTACCTCCCACCGCTCCAGGCTAAAAACAAAGAAAACAAAACACACACAAACACACACAAGCGCGCGTATTCACTTGAAATTTGATCATAGTCTTATTCTTACGCATGTTTATTATTATGCACACTTTGAGTAAAAAGAAACAGACTTTTACCTTCGTGCCCTTTGGAGAAAAGTCAGTGACGTTTTGAAATTGTGTGTGGATATTTATAAAGTAAAGACAGTGGCGAATTATAAATGTTTTTAGTATAAAAAATGCGATTACGTTCAATTCAAAATTAATGCAAATCTGTCTTACGGTACTGGACGAGAAATGAACAACAATTGGTCACTTGTTACGATGTCTGCAGGTTTACTATTTCAAAGTACATTATGCGACAACAGATGTGTCTGTGCAGTTTGAAGTTGGACTCGACTCACAAGCGATATATACGGTAGATTACGTGTGCTATATAAAACAAAACCATAATTTCAAATCTTGAAGACATTTATTTCAATCGGATGAAATATAAGCGTTTCGATGAAATAACTTTAAATTGTCACAAAATAAAGTCTGAAGAAAAGAATAAGATAAACAAACAATATGATTTTCATTTATGCACAGCAAATGCTTAAATTGGGTTAGAATTTTGTTTAACAAAAATGTTAGCTGCTGTAAACGCAGCTGATGTTAGTGGAAACTCAGAAAATGCTTTTTTCATGACCACAGTTTTAAAGTAAACATTAAAGTAAACATTCATATTGCATCCATTTGTGATGCCTTTCATCTCAAAATGACAGCCGCGGCTCATTTTGGACAGTGTCGGACTCGTACTCCAGTGGTTGAGGGTTAGATACCAAGCTATGTCAGTTTGGTTAGCTCCTTCAGTTTGTTCTATGGAAAGACACTTAATTCCCATTTCCTGGGAATGACAAAGACAGTAATGCACTCAAAGTGCCGTAAACAATGAACCAGCAATTTTCGTAAATACCTATATTATATTTCACAAAAAAAAAATATTTTATCATCTTCTGATTCAAAACTTTTTTTCTAACCTGTGGTTTGCAAATTATGTAAAATATGTATTAACAGTTTTTAAATTATTTCATTTGTTGCCCAAAAATATAAAGTACAATATGAGTTTTACCAAAACTATCATCAAATCCCTTAAATGATATTGTTGTTGAAACACTGCTGAAAATTCAATTTCTGAAACACCATGATCAGAGTTTATTATAAAAACTGAGACTTACACATTTTCAGATTATGCAGCTATTATGACGTACATTTGACAGTTATTCTGACGGAAATTTGAAAAGTTTAGTTATATTATGACGGAAATTTGACAAATATAGAACCTTGTCCATCTCTCCTAATGCAGCTTGTACATGCATCTCAATACCATATGACTTAGCTATTTTTAGTTCCTATTAAAAAAGTAAATAACTATAACACTTCAACATCACTGTATTTTAAATGAGTAACAACAAAAAGGGTCGATAACTCTAAATATTAAATGCGGAAAGAAAGATAGCAATACATTATGAAATCTATGATATCTCAGCCAAATAAATAAATAAACAAATAAATAAATAACATGAACCATTCCAAAACCCAGTCTCTCCAAGTACAAAAGCTAATACCAGTCATATATATGTAACATTTAAACAAAATAAATATAACTGTGATGATTATTTCCATCAGATTGGTTTTAGATTATCATACACTACGAGTAAGATCAATTTTGTCATCAAATCCAGAATTCATGGTTATATTTCCAGATATAAACACTACAAAAGCCCAGGAAGATAAACATCGTTTATTACAAGTACCTGATAGATTGTTTTATACCTGTTTAAAATGTCGGACCTGTCCTTACAGCAAATCAAAGGTTTGTAAAATGTCTGATATAGTCCTTAAAATTATGAATTTAGTAATTTTCACTGGTATAAATGAGTTTTTAGATGATAAAAAATAAGAAAAGCGTACAGCCTTTAAATCACTCCACTATGTTTTTAAAGTGATTGCAGATTTAACAACTATCGCATAGTTTTTACTTAATTGAAAATAGGAGTGAAAGAAACCATTCCGGTTACCAAAGTGGTTAGAACGTCTGCCTCAAATGCAAGAAGTCACGGCAGGGTTATACCAAAGACGTATACAAAATGGTACTAACAGCCCTGGCGTTCAGCATTAACAGCTTAGTGTTAGGACTGGTCGACCTGTACCAAAGACGTATACAAAATGGTACTAACAGCCCTGGCGTTCAGCATTAACAGCTTAGTGTTAGGACTGGTCGACCTGGTATCAGAATAATGTGAGTGTTGGGACATGATGCTACATGTCTGCGGCATGATGCCCCAGTGCTAGACATCACTATAAACTGCCACACTGCAGACATGATAGCGATATGAATGAAAAAGTGTTAAAGCTACTTTAAAAATCCGACTAACACACAATTCCACATACACACACGCGCGCTCGCAAACGCGCAGAGGAGTAAAAAAATAATTAATTTCCTTCATGTTTACTCAGTTGCAGCAGATTTCATTTGTTGGGCGTAAAAACAAATGTGCATGGAATTTTTGCGCTGTTATATAACTAGTAAACCTTATTTCAACTGCTTTTCGAATAAATAAAATATTTGACTCAAACAGCATAATTTTCAACACAGAATGTATAAGCAAATTTAGTATGATTTCACACAGAGAAATGTTTGACAGCTAGAATGTGTCAGTCACTTTCACTTCTAAGCATTCAAATTGTTATATATGTCATGGGATGATTATGGATGCAGCTGTTCCAGATTTACAGCAACGTATTTGTCACCGGATATTTGTGATGTGATGTAATTATGATTTTTAACGTAGCTTTAACAATTTTTCAGTCATATCGCTACGATGTGGCAGTTTATAGTGATGTCTAGCACTGGGGAGTCTCATTATCCTGACACCAGGCCGACCAGTCCTAACACTGACCTCTTAATGCTGAGCGAGGCAGCTGTTATTATCATTTTTGTAAGTCTTTGGTATGTCTCGACCGGGGATCGAACCCACGACCTCCTGCATCCGAGGCGGGCGCTCTAACCACTAGGCCCCTGGAGTGGTTCCGGATATTTGTATTACTCGATTTGGAACAGTAGACCATACTAGACATAGACATACACGGAATTATAATAAGATAATACTAAAAAGAATTACAACTAACATGCTATGACAATAATAATAATAATAATAATAATAATAGTAATAATAATAATAATAATAATAATAATAATAATAATAATAATAATAATAATAATAATAATAATAATAATAATAATAATAATAATAATAATAATAATTGATATTATTATTATTATTATTATTATTATTATTATTATTATTATTATTTTTTTTATTTTTATTATTATAAATAAGTGCATGATAAGAACTATTTTACGGCATAAACATGATATTGTAGGCTAACGTGCTTTCATTTTGGAGGGCGGTTTATTTCCAGAGCCGTTTTAAGACGTTTGGCGGCCCTAGGCACAAACTCTAACCTTAAAAGTAACCAGAAATGCACCTCAATCTCTTACACTCAGATATAACGTATTGCACTGCATTTCCATGTACACGTGTGTCATTTTGTTAAATTTATTAATATAGTACTAAACTGCTAACACAACTGGCACCGAAATTTTGTTTTGGGGCTGCCATTGAGCCCCCTGCTGCGCGAGACCCTAGGCTCTTGTCTTGCGTGCCTATGCCTTAAAACGGCACATTCTTCTGTGATCAGAGGTGAGATTGTTTACTCCTAAGAGTTAACATTTAAGCCACTTTTGTATATAGTATGGATTCTATGGGGTACACACGCTATTATTTGACCAATTCCCTTACTTTTATTTGCGGTTGTTTTCAAGAGGTTTAAAGCCATTTTTCAAATCACAGCTTTCTAAAAAGCGTAAAAAGCCCACGTGGGGCTAAATGGGTCATATTCAAACAGACGTGAATTTTTGACACAATTCTCTTTGAGCAGTAGATTTGGAAAGGAAAATGTCTGCCAGAATGTTACTTGTAATTGTAAAAAAAAAAAAAAAGTTCCAGTAGGCGTAGTTGTTGTTGTTGTAGGGTTTAACGCCATTTTTCAGCACAAGATAGGCTATACATGGCGGCCAGCATTAATGGAAACCCCCAAAAAGAACGCCGACCCACGAGTCGACTGGCAGCGACTGGCAGGCTTTCCCACTTACCCACGTTAGCCGAGTCTGGACTCGAGCTCACGCTGAGGTGAGATGGCAGTGATCCGTAACGGTCAGCGCTTTAGACCACTAGGCCACGTGGGGCCCCAGTAGTCGGGGTAATAAAATGTTCCCACGATCGCAACCAATCAAAAAATGTACTTATTTGAACCAATCAAAATTACATAAAGTGATATGTTAACACGTCATAATATCAAAAATTAAGCTGCACAAACTTTGTGTGTGTGTGTGTGTGTGTGTGTGTGTGTGTGTGTGTGTGTGTGTGTGTTTTAAACAAATTACTTGGGAAACGTACTTTCAAATGAGTTCAAAGGTTTGGTGTGAAAATATTTCCATTTGCAAACAAATATCTCATGTTTGGGTTAAATCTATATTGAAATGTATCAATCGGAGAAAACTATATCAACAAACTGATGTATCACATGTTCTGTCAATCAAACCACACTCTGTTTTGGCTCCATAAGTGAAGTCACGTCGCTCTCCTCTAATATTGTCAACCTATATTTCTTTGGAACATAATTGTCGTCGTCGTATTGACTAGCAAGTAAACATCCTCGACACTTATCAATCGAAGCATTCACGGCGAATACATTATCGTAAAACAGCCCCGAAACAACACCGCCGAGTATCGGACCAGCCCAGTATACCTATAAATAGAATTTATAGATGTAGGAAATCATTCACCATCAGTTCGTGTATAGGACATACAAATTACTGCTTAAAGGCAAATATATATCAACCTACATACACAGTACCTGATTAAACACTGTGGAAGCCCCTGGGCAGTCGAAATCTCGGGCTCTATCCTCCTCGCAAATTATCTCCTAATACGTCAAGATCAAATCAATTCAATATTATTGGGATCCGTTGTCGCGGGGCCCCTGAAAGGTGTGGAACTCATAGGCCAGTGCTTTCTCTGCCTATTGGGTAATCCGGCACTGTACATACATACATACATACATACATACATACATACATACATACATACATACATACATACATACGTACGTACGTACGTACGTACGTACGTACGGTACGTACATGCATGCATGCATGCATGCATGCATGCATGCTTGCATGCATACATACATACATACATACATACATACATACATACATACATACATACATACATACATACATACATACATACATACATACATACATACATACGACAGAAGACTGTAAACGTATATTAAATTTAATGTCATAAATTCTGGAGAAATTATTTTTTTAAGATATAGTTACATTACATTTTCAAAATAGTTTTATTTGGATTACCCCTTATCTTGGCACAAGATTTGTACTTAAAAATGATAACTGATGTCATCCACGATCACATTTTTCGGAGTACAAATTTATCATGCTAAATGTGTTAATGGAACACGAATGTCCCACAACACCAAACTGTGCACTTGACGCGTTGGAAGCGCAAGTGTCACACGGTATGTCCCTACCCGCGTCGATGTAGGGGCGTACAAAATTTGCCATATTCTTTCCATATGTTAGTTAAGACGTGCCAAATTATCCCGACATCAAGTGGACGTTAAAGTTACAACTTATTTTTCCACCGATACCCTCCCTGCAGCCCTCGATTAAATACCTACCCAATGGTTGTTCCAGATACCCATAACTAATGCGGGACCGAAACTTCGGGCAGTGTTCATGCTGGACCCAGTAAATCTCACCTAGAAGAAAACACGTTAAAATTCATTATAATAATAAATAATATGAAAGTATTTCGATAAAAAGATATAATGTATGTCACGGGAATGGCTGAGCGAGGAAAAGACTATTGACAGAAAAAAGGCTTGATTTCAAACAAACAAATTTAATTACTAAATAGAAAATAAACACATACACATGTGTACAGTATCACGGCAATAATCTGAAAACAATCAAAATAAATTAATTAAAGTGTCCAAAGAACTTGGAACAGACTATAGAATATATTTTCCACCTAGAATTTATTATCTGAAACGTCTCCACATTACTACTGAAAATGAAAAATGACTCATAATTATACGTTTTTGTGGGAAAACTGATTTCTACCCAATATATAGAGCGAATATTTCACTGAGTTTATGTAAAACGGAGGTTTTTCGTTTGTTTATCCCATGTTATAAATGTAAACCGTGACTAAACTTTAGTTTAATCTTAATTGGCATTCCAATTATATATTAGAAGAACACAGAAAAAGTACTGGTGAACACTGAAATTGCTTGTGATAGCCTCTATATGAACCTATATAGAAAACATGAAATTGCGAGAGATAAAAATATAAATGAATCAGCGGAAAAATCATGGTTACAATATTAAGGGGAGAAATAGAAATAAAATTTGAAATAGATTCGTGGAATAAAATTAAGTGACAGACATTAAACTTTTACTGTACTATCATATCATCCTGCAAGTAAAGGATGAAAAAACTATTAAAATTGCATCAGGATAAATTAATCAATGCAAAGAAAAAAAATCCACTAAAATAGTTATCCACACTCCATGGATAAAATCCTGAAATATACTACATTTTAGAATTCCGTATTCAGTTTGACATTGTTAGGCAGAAAAATACATCCTAACACAATACAAATGTCAAAGAAACTAAAGTAATGTAATATTTCCAAGTAAATTGAGGCTAGATTGTTAGACAGTTTCACATGTGAAGTCAGTCTTCTTTCAGTGGATGGTATAATGGTTTTCATTCAGTAGTGAAATATTATTTAAAACTGTCGAAAAAAGCTTCCTTAGATACAGCGTGCATTTCCGTTTTAAAATCCTTAACCATAGATAATGTATTCACTTCCCGCCTGCGCTTAAAAACTATTCAAAAAGTATGACAAAATTACATGACAACATTGTCCAATGTGTATTAACAAACCACGCTGTTAATGATTTGGGGAAGACACGATTGCCATTGTGTAAGCAGTAGAATATGATTGGCTACATTTTTTATGATTATGGCACACTTAAAGCAACAACGGAAAAAAATGGAAAAAAAAAATTAAATATCGCGGATGTTGAGCAGGAGGAGCATAGGAAACCGTGGGAAAAGGACAGCTAATCCCAAAATTCGGAATTCCGCGAGCATATTCAAAATCTTCATGTGTGATACCATTTATATCGTACGACGAAGGTCTCAGTGGATATTGGCAAAGAAACTTCGACCATAAAGGCTTATGATCTATACCAATACTAGCAATATCCTTTCCATCTCACTCGAGCATATCGTGTAACTAATAAAAACGTGTTGTGAGGCATACTTAGGTTAAATAAAATTCTACTAAAACTCAAGACAATCACCAATGGTAAAAGTTGTCCCAGAGTAAATATGTGCTAAATGGACTAAACGTTTCATTCGATGAAATACACATACGTAGATATGGAATGAAGTTACTGCATTAAGCCAACTGGTCGTGGAAGGTACTATTGTGTTTTGTGTGTGTGATTTAGATTTTTGACGTAGTTTTAATAACTTTAATCAGTATCTGCGGTGTGTCAGTTTATAGTGATGTCGAGCACTGAGTCATCAGTCGACGTATAGCATCATGTCCCACCCAGTCACACCAGTTTACAGTGATGTCAAGCACTGAGTCATCAGTCGACGTATAGCATCATGTCCCACCCAGTCACACCAGTTTACAGTGATGTCAAGCACTGAGTCATCAGTTGACGTATAGCATCATGTCCCACCCAGTCACACCAGTTTACAGTGATGTTAAGCACTGAGTCATCAGTCGACGTATAGCATCATGTCCCACCCAGCCAAACCAGTTTACAGTGATATCGAAAACTGAGTCATCAGTAGACGTATAGCATCATGTCCCACCCAGTCACACCATGTCGGCCAGTCC